ATTTTGCATTTATTCACTCTCTTGTAGTTCAAGCTAGACAGGGTTTTACTAACTTTTTGAGAATACAGGGCTTTGCCATTTGTATTAATCTTTTCTATTTGGTATTTCCCAACGGCAGCGTAGATCCCATGTCCTTGCCAACATGGAAGAAAAAAGTGAAACTTGGAGCAGCAGCAGGACCTGTGCTGGATTTGGCTTTCACTGATTTACTTCAGATTTTAACATAAAGCTGTGAAACCTCTGGGCTGTGTTACCAGCCCAGCACGGAGGGGAGATTTTGGGTCAGGATGCACAAGGGGAGGTTGCACTTTCTAGTGAAGTGCAATGCTCTGGATGATTGGAAAAGCCACTGAGCATTAAATGACACCGGATGAAAACATAAGGGGGGTTTGCAGTAGGGGTCAGGTAAGACAGATAACTGAGTGACAAAGCGCGTACTGTTGGAGTGCAGGCCAACCAAATAATTAGAGCACATTTTATGAAAAGATGAGTTTAACCCTGTAGATATCTGTGGTCTCCTCTAAGGCAGTAATGAATACATTGTATGTTGTTTTTCTTTAGGAGCTATTGAAAATTGTAGGTCCTTTTAGGCCTCAGGAATTGATTTATCAGTATAGCGTGCCTTTTGTTACTCCATTACTCACCCTTGGGGTGATTCTGGTTTTGCTCAGTCATTCATTGGAAATTGGTCATTAGAAAAATCACAGGCTTGAAAGCATAATTAAATACATTTTCAAGCACAGGCAAATGGCAGATGCACACATAGTCCTGGATGTTTTTGGGTTTTGGTTTTTGTTTTCTTTTTTTAAATCTACTTAGTAAATTTAATGTGCAGCAGACTACCTGTAGTTAATCCAGCGTTTCTTCAGCACAGGCCCCAGCTTTTGGGCAAATGGCCGTTAATGCCTGAGGAGTTTCCAGGATCAGACTCGAGTGTCAGAAATTACAAAAACCTCTTTATTTAAAAGAAATTAACAGGAGTTTTCTCAAGCCTGCTACAGTTGCCACAATTCAGATATTGCAAGCTGTGAACCAGATTGTGCCTCTCGCATGTAGGTAAAGCAGTGCCTTGCCCACGCCGTGGGGGTGTTTCTGAGCTCAAGGTAAATAAAAAACACACAGTGCGGAGTAAGGAGGCACCATACACCCTGTGTAGCCCATGATCCAAATGTATCTGAGAAGTCCTGCTAATGTTGTTTCTTGGTTTCTGAAGCTTACAGTGTTACAGGTTCACAACCTGTATTGTTTAGGTTCTTGTTCTGTGTTTTTTCTTGTTTTTTATATGATGCCTACAAATGTGCAAGGCAAAAGAATAAGCAGAAATTCCTGATTATGAAATCCAGCTCTGTGTCCAGTCTAGTAAGGAATTCCTTCTGTTATCATATAAATCAGTATTTTTCTAGCTAAGCCATATTTGTTACTTTTTGTAGCTGAAATGATTTCTGTAGTGAGAGCACCACTGTACAGGGGGTGCGAGCCACCGTCTCTTGTGTCCCTTTTTGGCAGGAAAGGCAAAGGGCGATTTGTTTGCCTGTGGGAGTTCCTCTGCACAGATGTCAATGTCAGGGGAATGAGGAAAACCAGCTCATGTGGTTTTCATGGTGTGAGAAGAGCTCTTGTGGTGGCTCTTAACAGAGAGAGGAAGAAACCTGCTCGGGAGAGGACACCAGGTTCTCTATCCCAAAAACCATTCCTGTCCCCAGCCCCCTGCAAGTGCCCTGAAAATCCGCTCACAAGCAACTCTGTAGCTTTAACATCCAAACATTTCAATTCAGTAAACAAATCTGTGACTCTTATTTTCATTTCAGGTCTATCTCACTTAGTTTTATTAAGATTTTGCTTTCTTGAGATCATCTTCACTTTTAATTTTTCAGTGATATTTTCATTGCTGGTTGAGTTGCTTTTAAAACTCAGGGTGAAGAAATACTTCCCTTGCCTTCAGAGCTCTTGCTCAGAGGAATTTTACCTTGACAGGTACCTCATATGGTGCTCAGCTGCAGGTTGCAGTCACTGCAAGCCAGGCAGCGACACTCAGATTTTGATTCTTTCAGTATAAATGTTTTTTTCTGCTTCTCCTCTGAGACTTAAAAAAAAAAAGTCTGTAATAACAGCAGTTCTCAAACCAATGCGAAAGTCCTCTCCCTTATCTAGATGATGTACCACTTCTCCTTATCTAGATGAGCAAAACCAGGCTCAGTGTGGAAGACGTTTCTGAAACAGAGTTGGGGTTTTTTGGTCTTCAGAGCTATTGGGGCTGTGGTATAAGAAAGGAGGTGGCTGGGGATATACTGCACCCATGCGTGCGTTGTTTGTGTTGTTTTCACTTCATTTTCATTATCGTATGTAAACCAGGATGGCCGTGAGGTGATGGACTGACATCACATCCAGTTTCCTTAGAAATGAGTAAGCATCGGAGCCGCTGTCAGCCCTCTCCCAGTAACTTTGAATCTGCTTTCCAGGTTCAGGCAAATTTGAACTTAAGCTCATAAAAGCTTAATGAAACAGGCAGCTGGGTAACAAGGGTCACAGTAAGGCACATCTAATGCTTTGTTTTACAGCCAGGCGAGGTGGCAATCTGTAAAAATCACACTTAAAAACTCCATTAGTGCCCCTGTCTTCCTCTGTATCTCTGTCTGTGAGGAAGCACAGGGGCGGAAGGGCAATGCAGTAATTCCCAGCTTGGAGTGGACACTGCGGGCTCTCCTGTCTCGACGAGAGCTACACACACAGACAAAGTCCTGGCAGCTTCTGCTGCTAGGAACCTGTTTCCTCTTTCCTTTTAATGGAAGGGATAAAGTGGAACAGTAATAATGGGAGTGATAAATGAAAGGAAAACTGTAACCACGTAATTATGTCAGAATCAACTAACAGCCATGAAAAGCCGATTAAAGCACATTATGCAGCTCCCTGTAACAGAATACTATTAATAAGTCCTTTGCAGTGGCATGCCTGGCAATTAAGAACGCGGTATTGGCAGCACACAGCAAAACCAGTGATAACGTATGGATAAAAATGTTTGGAGACAAACAGTGCAGAGAGTACAGGGACAGCCCAGAAATTAATCCAGGAGCATCCTCAAAGATGCTCGGTATGCAGAGGAAAAAACCAGTTATCCCAGGTAGACTGTGTGACTGGGATGCTGGGCATAGTTACAATAATTTCTTTTTATCATCTAAATGAGTTTACTGGCTTAACCATAACTGAAGGGCTGCAGTACAGTAGGTAGTCTCCACAAATTTCAGGTTGTGCAGGCTAATGGAGGAATTTCATTGTTTTTCTGAAATAAAAAAGCCTGCAGAAATACTCTGATTTAGACAGTAAGAATATCAGGTAATGTTCCTGTGGTTGCAACTGTTCTGTAAATATTTGGGAATGGGCTCACAAAGTGTTCTATATTCTTATGTATGTGGGATTTCCAACTCAGGGACTTGAAGAAGGTGTCGCCCATCGAGTTTCTTTTTCATTGGAGCACTGGGTCTCCTCTCGCCTCCCGCGGGAAGAGCTGGAGGCTCAGTCCCAGCCTTCGCTGCCCTCCCTCTGCCCAGCTCCCACCTGCAGGCAGTGAGAAGCCCGCAGGAGCGAGCTCTGCGATAACACCAGTGCAGGCTTCAGGGTGCCCACGGGCTCTACAAAAAGACACGCTCCCACCAGAAACTACCCCAGGGGCTCATCCAAGGGAGTAAAACCAGTGGGGACTTTTTGGTGCCAAAGGACAAGCATGAAGAGTTCGTACTCCTCTTTTTTTCTTCATCATGCTGGGCAGCCTTCTGAGACGTGCTACCTAGAGAGTCTGCTTGCAGGAACCCAGCATGGATCCTTTAAAATATTTATCCTACATATTGTTTTCCAACAGGTACATGCAGGTTTTCTTCTGTTTATTTTTGGAGATGGCTGAACTGGTGTGAAATACAGCTAATGAGAGGTCGACAGCATCTGTGCCCACAGCGGTGCCTTCCTGAGCCATTACAGAGCAAAGGAACGGCGAGAGTGTGCGTGCAGCTAGACTTTGGTTACAGAAGCCAGGCGATATGTTTATACATTAAATTCTGTCGGCAACTTAAGGACTAGGGATGTAAAATTCATGAAATCTCTGCCAAACCAAGATTTATGATGACCAGGAAAACATGCCTTTGCTTAATGGAGAAGTGAGACTGTGTCCGTAGGTCAAAGCATTTAATTGCGGCCATCATATCTGTATTTACTTGGGCTACTTTTCCTCATACCTTTTATGTGAGAATGTTGATGCTTACAGAGTATTTGTCATGAGAGAGGCATATCTTTATCTCCATTTTTACATGTGAAGAAACTGACACCCAGAAATTTGGAGGTGAGATAGCAATCAGGGAGTTAAAAACCCAACCTTTTTGTGTCCAAATTGGGTGTGCTATATAATGGATCATGCTGGATTTAATAGCACATTAAATTTAGCTACTGGTAGTATTAAACACCTGGTTTTCCATCCTTTTATTTGAAGCTGGAGCGTCATATTCCTTCTCCAGCAGAGAAATAACTCAAGGCCATTTCTTTCACCTTTTCCAGAACTCACAAATTGTTTCTGCAGTAAGAAGCTGTCACTGGTAGCAGAGCGCACTACTGTATCATCCAGCAGAAAGGATGCTTTTCAGCATATATTTATACAAAATAGTATAAAAAGAATTAAAACCATGCTAGCCAAGAGTAGCAAACCTTGGGCAACACCTGTCACAAAAATGGTGCCTATGACAAATGGGTACCACTCCGAAGTTGTCTCTGTCCGTGAGGCGTCCTGTATCCTACTGGGACACGCAGCTCTGACACTGAACAGCTTTGGGCTGCTCTTGGCTTCAAAGATTTTGCTTCTGTGTTTGCTTTTAAAAGCGTGTTGTTAGGGATGTTCTTGTAGTTGGCATTACCGCTGCCGAGCTCAAGGCACGGCTCTGCGACATGACCCTCAGACACGGTGATGTCCACAGATCCACCACCCAAAATATCACTAACAATGTGAACTTTTAATTTCACAGATGAAGGAACTCGGCGTCATCGTCTACAACTGCAGCTGCCTGGTCCTGGATTTACAAAGGATCTTTGCCCTGTACAGCTCATTAAGATACAAGAATAAAATACCTCCGAGTTGGTCCAAGAGACTCTATGGAGTGTACGACACTCAAAATAAACTGACACTGCAGCTGAACGAGACAAAATCAGAAGCTTTTGTGTCGGTAAGTTTTGAAATGAGTTGCAGAGAGGGAGGGAAGGAAAGAAATTTATTTAATACATCAGATTTTGTAAGACCCGGAAATTTAACATCTGCGTACACTCCTAAATGCTGTCCTTCATGAACTACAGAGCAGTGAGACCAGGGTAGGTGGGTGGCAGTAGCAGCTATGAAAGTATCCCAAGTGCTTTTTCATTGACAGAGAGATGCTTGTAGTTCCCTGCAGTAAGTCCACCATAATGCTGTGTAAGGTAATCTCCGTGAATATGGTATATGGTGTAAATCAAGCCTTCACTTATTTCTCTAAATTGGCTCTGATTGAAGAAGATACACATTACCACTATGTCTTTAAGCAAAAGGACAAAAACAAATTAAGCTGAAATTGAGATTCACAGGAGTGACTGGAAACTCAGTTATAGAGGTAAGACCACTATGGCTGTCACCTACACAGGACAGCATTTGATTGACTACCTCATAATGCTGGAAACCCAAATCATTCAGTTGTCTGGGAAAGTGGTTGTACCAATAGGTGTACTTCTGTGGGGAAGTGTGTCACTGAAAGGCTTTTTAAGTTAATTACCTTTTCCTGTGGTGCAGAAGAGACAAATCACAATGTATTTTTTTATTCATTCTGATTTCTGTGACATTGTTCATACATGGAATTTGTCAGGACTAAAGATGCTACAGAATTTAATTTGAGCATTATCCTTTTTCTCTCTCTGCATTGTTCACCACTTTTCCTCTTGCATTCAAAAAATGGTAGAAAAGCCCTTCAGATTAGGTGATTTATTTATTTACACAAGTGGATAGAAGGTGAATGGCTTGGGAGTAAATGAACTAACCAGACATCTAAAATGATAGAGAATAAGATTGAAATCAGAGCTTGCATTTTTATCAATGTAATTTATAAGGATTAATCTTCTTCACCCTGTTCCATTGAAAGCATTCACACTTGTGTAGAACATTATCTACTTTAGCTTTATTTTTAAATGACATTTTTAAACTTCTGCAATTCAAGCAGCAATCCCCATGGAAGCACTGTCTGTGTATTTTTAATGGGAAGGAGCAGTCCTCAGAAGTGATGTAGCAAAACTGGAAAAAAGTACACAGAGCCATAGAGATGAGAGATGTAGCGTCTCTTTCATTTTGGAGATAATTACGTGAGTAAAAACAATCCCTGCAAAATCAGGAGTATGAAGCGGTTGCTAAGACTTATTACCATTCTGTATAAAAGAAAGGGTAAAACCCCACTGCTTTACAGCCTGAAACAACATTTTATGTCTGAAACAACCCGAGCCCTTCACACTGTGAAGGATTTTTCCCACTCCTGCAGTCAGTGGAGAGGCAGTGAGCTATTTTGGAGTGAAAATCAGGAAGTGCCTAAGACAGCCAGAATTAAGAGCTGTCTGAAGAGACACACACATCCATTTATTCTAGAGAGCCTTAAGAAGGAGCTTAAATTAGAGAGTGACTTTTGGACAGTCAGTGAAGGAGCTGTGAAATGAGCTCCTACTCCCCTTTAAGCACTCTGTAAGAAATGGAGAGATGGCACTGACAGGCAGTGCTGGAGGAGACCACAGCGATCAACGCAGGGCAAGGCCGGCCTTAAGGAATGTGGGATCTCAGGCAGAGGCAGGTGGGGAGAGGCTCTACAAGAACAGAGCTTTAACAGAAGTTTTTCTAATTCCTTTCTAAATGTCTTTCGTTTTCCGGTCTTTATATTGGATGCATCTGAAAAACACAATGTGCAAGAATTCCATTTTTTGCTGTCCTGTAACTTGCAAGTTCTGTCAGAAAACAGTAAGAATGCAAAAATAAAACCTCAGTGCAACACCCTGCTCCAAGTTTCAGATGGCAGACATAAATTATATTTAAGAAAATCACACTTTCTTCAGTTGGGACTCATTCTTTTGAAAACCTATTTCACTGTCAATGTTTGTGCTGTGTACAACAAGCAGTGTAACATGCAGTCATTGAGGGGTTTGTTCTGCTCAGGAATCATGGCTACAATGTTGCCTAGCAACAAAATGGTCTGCCAGAGTGGCTGATAAAATGTGAGGGGTTTTGGTTGTTTTCTTAGTGTTCAGGAATGGATCTGGAATATTGATCTGGAGATCTTGCTAAAGTTACTCTTCCAGTATTTTCTGAACTTAGTTGTAGTAAAGCATTAAGAACGCCAGGCAATGATTAAGAAACCACTGTGATAGGCGTGGTATAAAGATTAATCAAAACCTCAGGGTCTGTCCCTAAAGAAAACACACAAATGTAGGTGTCAGCTGCAGCCCAAGCAGCTACTGGAGGTGAAAGGGTGACACATTTGACATCCCTAGGTACGAGGCAATGTAACTTCAACCAGAGCTGCTTTGATGGCAGTGATGTTACATCTACAAACCACAGTTACATTGACAGGGTGAGACTCTAAAGGGGAAATTAAGCAAATACCTCTCCTTTGTACCTTTGAGTATTGTAGCAGGACAGCTGGAGGTATCAGTTGATATTCTCTACTAAAATCAAGGATGCTGCTTGCCATCCCAAGAATAATGAGGCGAAGAGAAAATAAATCATGTATTTTAAATGCCCTATTTGAACTCTTCCCTTCACAGAACTCACCCAAACTCTTCTGCCCAAAGGACAGAGTCCTGGATATTGAAGCTATTTACAGTGTTATCGATGACGCAAAGCAGTTTGTGTACATAGCTGTCATGGACTACCTGCCTATCGTCATTGACACCAATGCTAAACGGTGAGTGTCTGTGCCCAGAGGCAGCACAGTATCATGATGCCAATAAGGTCTTCTGGAGAAAATGAACCCACAGGAGAGTAGTTCCTACTGTGGACCGATCTCTTGGGGCCCAATTCTGCTCTTATTGAAATCAGTGAGAGTTCTGCCATTGACTTAAATGGGAGCAGAATTGGGACCTAAGAAGACATTTCCAGTTCTGGGTCCTAAGCTCTGGATCTGCCTATGGAAGGAGATCAGAAATTGTCTAATCTGACCATCTGCAAGTGACTGGGACCCAGGAACACAAGAGCCTGCTTATACATGAATCCTATTTCCTACACTGTCATATTCTCTGATACCACAGCTACTGGCATTTTATGAGTATCATGCAGATACCCAACATGAGACAGTGTGTGTGTGTGGTTTGTGTTAAGAGAGAAATAACATGCTGTGTGTTCTTGTATACAATGTGGGAGATGTCATTATTTTACTGAAATACACATATACATGAAAATTCCAAATTCAGCACAGGTTAATATATCACATATGGGTTAACCGAGAGTTGCTAAAGCAAACAAAACTAAGTAATTTTTAAATAGTTTTTATGGACCATTAAAAACCACTCATAAACCAAAACTGGAGCCCCAGTGTAAGAAACCCATCCAACTCAGAAGGCAAGGGTCCAGCGGTCCCTCCTACCCTCAATAATGCTTGCAATGCATTGAGCACCTAGGGAAGTTCCCCCTTCCATCCGTGCACCTTATGTGAACACACTTAAGCCAAAATAAACATGTGGCTATGTGCTTTTTTCCAGTTTTGCATGATTAAAGAAGTTTTGTTCAAATTTTTTAAAAAACAATCATTTGACTGATCCCAAGCATAAGGTGTTTCCAATCTCCAAGAGGGTTTTTCCAGTGAACTCATTGCAGCCTCTGCCGCAGTGAGAGGATCCTAGAAGGTGGCTTTGTGTCTGAGGCACTGCCCCTCCTTACCTCGCCTGCTCCCACTTCTCGCTTCTACGGTATTTTCTGGCACTGCAGAGCTCAGACTTCATTGCACCAAATGCCTTGATGCTGCTGGAGGAAAGAAAACGTGCCTTTTCCTTGTCAAATTCTCCCTGTCAAATTCTCCCTGTCCTGACCTGCTCCCACCAAAGGTCAAGAACACAAAGCTCCGTAGCGATGGTGAGAGCAGCACCGTGGAAGCCACCATCCCGATCATGGCTGAATGTAGGG